ACTGTCATGTTAAGCTAGAGAGGAATGCTTTGTGCTGGAAGCTATCTGCCTGTTTTCTGTGAGATCCCTGGTGTGTGGAATGCACCTGTGGAGGGAGAGCTCTAAACTGCCATCCAGAGATAAACTGGTGAGAAGCCAATCAAATGAATCCATGCACCTGGAACTTCCCATACATGACCCGGGTAGGTTCTAGGGGCCAAGAGGCTGTGTGTGTTGGTGATCCCTCAACTTGTGGATGGCATGAAGGTACTGTGCATTCAATACTCCTCTCTTCATCTCTCTGTTAAGTTAAAAAAAATGAAGTATTAGAATAAAGTCTACTGTGTGAGTTTGATTGACAGTCAAAACCCAAGCTACTGCTGATATGGGAAAGCATGGCATTTGAACAGGATTGGCATTTGAATCCTTAGCTCGATTTGTGTCTTCCTGTGTCATGGCCAGAATTGGCTCTCAGACCCATTTACCAGCAAACCGATTAACAGCAAAGGAAATGAGACCACAGTGATTGCATGGACTAATTGCAACTCACCCTGGGGTGTGTGGCTAAGTGGGGAACGCTCCTGAAAGCCCACAGCTTTGTATGTGTGGGACATACTGAACAAAACAAAGGTTATGTTAAGAAGAAGGAAAGACAGGTACCAAGGGCTGGCAGTGAAAGGAGACTGGGTAGGCAATCCATTACCTCTGCTGTGTGTATTTAAGACATAAGCACTATCAGGGTAAAACTGAATTTTCTCTCAGGTCTCTGTAGCTGTTTGCTGAGATGGGGATTAGTGTCAAAAATCCTACTGAAAAGTTGACTATTTCATGTTAGGCATGAATTATATCACAGACCAGATACGTAACTCAAGCACCAAACCCACTCTTCCCATTGTTTCATATAATGGTCAGATTTATATGAAATCCATATCTTATGGCTTCAAAAATATTTTGAATGCTAAGCCTATCAAATGATCTCTATTTAACGTATTTTTTTGTGATTGTCATGCATAAAGTGCTGTAAAGTTACTAATGTCTGAAGATTAGTTGAAAAATTCATTACAGTACTTCAGTTATCTTCCTAAATTTACTTTTTACTCATTGGTTTTGTTGGGGCTCGGGGTAGATCACCAACATGGGCCTCAATGGGATATTGCTTATTTTGAATTAAAGTTATTTAAGAAATGGTCAACATAAGGAGGGTACCATGGGAGACGTTCTCTGTCTCCCTGAAACAGGAATTAAATCTCTCCTGTGAAAGGTGCCCTCTGACCCCCACCCCACATCTGGAAGTAGAAGGACACCCCCTAATAGTCAGAGACAGGAAATGAGGGCCGAGAGGCCTGTGTTACAAATACGTTACTTCTTCAGTTTACTACCTTAAGCCCAAATTCTGTTTAGATCCTTTGCTAATTGAGCATCCCAAACCTCAATTTCTTTGTCCTGCAATTCCTCACAAATTTGTAGTTTTTGTCTAAAAAGTATAAAAGCTGCTGACTCTGGCCACTTCCTTTGGTACCATGTCTATGACCTCTTTCTGTACAAATTAAAAAAAATTTTTTTCTCCTGTTAATCTGTCCTGTGTCTATTTTATTACTGGTCTAGCAGCAAGAACACAATGGGGGTACAGAGTGGTGGAGATTTCCCCTTCCATGACAGTTCTTTTTTAGCAAGCAATAATTCACCTGCAGAATGAGTTCATTAGAAACATTGTATTGCACAGCTGGTGGGCACTAGTGTCAACTTGTTTTCCCGTTTATCCTACACGTGTAATGTAGGTGAGCAAACAGATTTGATACTTGAAGGAATATAAAGAATAGGCAGACTTAAGTCCAAACCCTTGCATCTGTAATTTTGATGCAAAAGTGTCTGTGTGTCTTCATCAGCTCAGGTTGCTGCTGCTGCTAAGTGGTGGCAGTCGTGTCCAACTCCATGCGACCCCACAGACAGCAGCCCACCAGGCTCCTCTGTCCCTGAGATTCTCCAGGCAAGAATACTGGAGTGGGTTGCCATTTCCTTCTCCATCAGCTCAGGTTACCAAAACAAAATACCACAGACTAGGTTGCATAAGCAACAAAATTTTCTTTTTTCATTTCTTGAAGCCAGGAAATCTAAGATCAATGTGCCAGAAAGGTAGGTTTCCCTCTGATGCTTTTGAACTGTGGTGTTAGAGAAGACTCTTGAGAGTCCCTTGGGCTGCAAGGAGATCCAACCAGTCTATCCTAAAGGAGATCAGTCCTGGGTGTTCATTGGAAGGACTGATGCTGAAGCTGAAACTCCAATACTTTGGCCACCTCATGCGAAGAATTGACTCATTGGAAAAGACCCTGATGCTGGGAGGGACAAGGGGCAGGAGGAGAAGGGGACGACAGAGGATGAGATGGCTGGATGGCATCACCGACTCGATGGGCATGAGTTTGCGTAAACTCCGGGAGTTTGTGATGGACAGGGAGGCCTGGTGTGCTGCAATTCATGGGGTCGCAAAGAGTCGGACATGACTGAGCGACTGAACTGAACTGATTAGTAAAAATTGACTTATATAAACTTACAATTAAATAAATTATGCTAAAAAACATAGGTAATAAGTACTCCAAACTCAACCCAACACTTCCTAATTATTTTACTATACTATTATCTGTGCTCTTGAGGATGTTTATGCTGATTCTATCTATCTGTATGGGACTTCCCCTGTGGCTCAGTGGTAAAGAATCCACCTGCAATGCAGGAGACCCAGGTTCAATCCCTGGGCCAGGAAGATCCCCTGGAGGGGGCATGACAACCCACTCCGGTATTCTTACCTGGAGAATCCCATGGACAGAGGAACCTGGTGGGCTATGGTCCATGTGGTTGCAAAGAGTCAGACACAGCTGAAGTGACTGAGCAGGCACTCACGCACATCTATCTGTATGGAGGCAGCACTGTATATGGTGTGCTACTGCCCACCTCTTTCCAACTCTGTATTTAGTAATATCAGGTTAAAAAACACAATTTGGAGTTTAATCCCCCCATAAAGCCAGTTGTTAAACATCTGCCAGCACACCACTGCTCTAAGCCTACAAAAAGCTGCTTGATCATTTATTAACTTTTAATGACCAAATCCTCACTTTTGATGGGTTTAACATTATTCTTCTTTCTTCCAATTTCCAGATTTGTGCAATCAGTTCATAGGAAGGTTTCTACCAAGTCATATGCTTTGTCCTTTCAACCTTGGCTAAACAGGATAATTTTATCTTTGGTTTAGACAACAGAAGTTGGCTAACAGAAGATCAACATCTGTCTCATTGAATAGGTGAGCTTCTTCCTTTGAGTCAGCTCTTAAGTTTTTTATTTCATTTGTTGCACACAAGCACTGCTAAAATCTTTGAGTGAATCTCTGTCAGTTGTACCGTAATCAAATTGTAGTAGTTGTTGCAGCTTTTCAATTACAGTCATCTGCACAGTTGGCATCGGAGAAGGCAATGGCACCCCACTCCAGTACTCTTGCCTGGAAAATCCCATGGACAAAGGAGCCTGGTAGGCTTAAGTCCATGGGGTCGCTAAGAGTCGGACACGACTGAGTGTCTTCACTTTCACTTTTCACTTTCATGCACTGGAGAAAGAAATGGCAACCCACTCCAGGGTTCTTTCCTGGAGAATCCCAGGGACGGGAGAGCCTGGTGGGCTGCCATCTTTGGGGTCGCACAGAGTCGGACACGACTGAAGCGACTTAGCAGCAGCAGCAGCACAGTTGGCATAGTTTAGTTTCTAACTCATGTTCACTATTCCTTTATCATCTCTACCAATTCACTCTCTCCCTCTGTTTTTTAAATACAGTAGTTTTTTTAAAAAATATTTATTTATTTATTTGGCTGCACTGGGTCTCAGTTGTGGCCCTTGGGATCTTCAGTCTTCATTGCATGCGTGATCTTTAGTTGTGGTATGTGGGATCTAGGTAGATTTCCTAATCTAGAGGGCTTCCCCTGTGGCTCAGCAGTAAAAAAAAAAAATCCTCCTGCCAATGCAGGAGACACAGGAGACGCAGGTTTGATCCCTGAGTCAGGAAGATCCCCTGGAGGAGGAAATGACAACCCACTCCATATTCTTGCCTGGAAAATCTCACAGACAGAAGAGCCTGGCAGGTTACTGTAGTCCATGGGGTTGCAGAGTCAGACACGACTGAGCAACTGAGCACGCACGGGATCTAGTTCCTTGACCAGGGATCCGACCCGGGCACCCTGCATTGGTAGTGTGGAGTCTTAGCCACTGGAACACCAGGGAAGTCCCCCAGTTCACTCTCTGAAGATACTTTGTCAACACAGCTATTTCCACTTGAAGGAGACTCGGATTTAACTGAGAAGAAAACTAACGTATTTTTTAAAAATTTCCTGCCAGAACCGTACGTAGTTTTCTGAGGCTTTTAAGAATTCTGCGATTTAGAATCATTCCATTTGTTATCATCCGGGGCTTTCTCCTTTTCTTTGGAGGCCAGATTTCAAATGTTGGAAAACAATGACATCAAGATCATCTCAATGATCTAAAGAGTACTGTAGGAATTTAAATTGTAAATTACCAACATCAGAATATTTCCAGATGCGGTAGAGACAATTTGAGAACAGGAGATTCCAATCCCTCAGGCAGGAAAAAGAAGCAAAAAGATAGAGATAGGACATGGTGGCAGATGGCAAATTCCTATGGCTTCCCACTTTTGCCTGTAATTGACTTTAAAAAAATAAATAAATAAAATAAATAGCTCAGAGATGGTTTAAAAGTTGTGCTGTTTTATTTCTAGGTAACTGAGAAATTGCCTCAAAGACTATGCTGCTTTCCTGGTTCTATGGAGCTTCCTTCTGGAACTTGGTTTCTACAGGAGTTGGTGATTGAGGTGAATCCTGTAATAAAAATAGGTTCACAGGATACATCCCCGGGGGTGACTGGCTGTGACCGGGACCGCCTGAGCTTTGCCCACTTCCCTTGAAAGTAGCTTCCACACACAGATAGCAGCCCCTGCAGACGTGGGGTCCGGCCTTCTCCCAGACCTCAGCTTACATGTCTCCTCGGGGCTCCTTAGTTGGAGGGGAGGTGGGGGAGCTGGTGCTGTGATGTGCACCCTCTGTGGGGAGACCTGGAGTTGTCAGAACTTGGGGTGTCGGGGAAAACCTGGTTGACATGCCACAGTAGGTCCCCAGGTTCCCAGGTGCAGAGGCCTCTCTGTTCCCCTCCGAGGTCTTGGGCTGGGCGGAGGGTATGAGGACAGGGCCGCTCACAGCTGTGCTCCCAGACGAGGAAGGGGCCCGGGTGGACGCGATGGGTCTGGAAATGACGGGCACTGGCTGAAGCTGGACGCGTGCCACCGTGCTGACTCTGGGCCTAATTCCATCTGGCGCTCCAAAAATACTGGATGGCCACAAAGCTAGCAAGGGTGCTGCCTCCCTGTTGTAAGCGAACTCTGGTCGCTCCATCAGTCTTTGAATTGGCTGTAAGAAGGACGGAGAGACCAAGTTAGATAAGACACTTCCTGGCTGGAATATACAGGCCGCTCTGTGCTAATTGACCGTTTTGGCCTAAAAGAACTTCTTTTTTTTTTTTGGAAGGAGAAGTGCACAAGAATTGGCTCAGTGGCAAAGAATCTGCCTACAATAAAGGAGACCCGGGTTCGATCCCTGGGTCAGGAAGATACCCTGAAGAAGAGAATGGCTACCCACTCCAGAATTCTTGCCTGGAAAATCCCATGGAGAGAGGAGCCTGGAGGGCTACAGTCCATGGGCTCGCAAAGAGTCAGACACGACTTGGTGGCTAAAACACACACAGTGCATGTATGGCTTCTGCAGGAGATGAAGAGGGCGTCTGAGACTGGGGTGACTTGCAACAGGCAGGTGTGGTTGAAGTTGGGCTAAACTGGGAAACTGGTTTGACTTTTGCCTGATTTGCCTAGGTTTTGAATGCCATCTGTCCCCAGAGATACAAACATTGAGCATAAGGAAGCAAGTCCTGAGGACAGGTCCATGTCAACGTCCCCAGGAGAAAGGTTCTAAAGTGTCCTTAGATCCCTGCTGTAGCCTGGTCTGCCACCCATGGCCCAAGTCAGGTCCATGCTGGTGCTTTGACCAAACAGTTACAATGGGCCAGATATTTTCTGTCCTTTCATTTTCTCTCCCCTTTATTATTTTTTTAAATTTTTTCTCTCCCCTTTATTATTAGTGTGTCAAAACGGTAGGACATTTTCAACAAAGACATCCTTTTGGCACTACTGTGTTATATTCTACAAACCCCTTCACCAATCGGTGTCCTTTAATTTGGTCTAATATTTTGTGCTTTCTTGTCTTGTCTCCATTGACCTATTTTTTGTTACCAGTTTCCTATTAGAATGGTAAAGTGCCACAAGAAAAATACAAATAGGTCAAACCTTTTCTTTCTTTTTGTATTTTGGCTCCACTGGGTCTTCACTGCAGCGTGTGGGCTTTCTGCAGTTGTATTCCATGTCTTAGTTACTCCATGGCATGTGGGATCTTAGTTCCCCATAAGGAAACAAACCCACGTCCCCTGCATTGGAAGGCTGATTCTCAACCACAGACCACCAGGGAACTCTCACATAGTTTTTACTGAGCCCAAGTTCTGTTGAATCTTTCTTGCTGAGGGAGCCACAGAGTTTTTTAGGTGGCCTACAAATATCCTAGTCATTATGTCCTAAATGATTAAATATTTTCCTGATGTAGCTGTTATTGTAGACTTAGGATTTCCTTCAGGATGATATTGGAATTGAAATAGTTTCAACTTTATATCTTCTAAACTAAAACCCCCAGTACAGAATTTTTCTGATATGATAGAAGAATATGATAAGAAAAAAAAAATCTGTTCTCTCTGAATCTAAAACATCTCTATCTGGGTTCAGTACACAAGAAGTTTGAAAAATTTAAACACCTTCATATTTTACCATTTCTTCAGATATTAGCAGTGTGCTGTTTCTACAATTCAGCTACGGGCTTCTCTTTTAAGTGATCTTAAACAAGGATTCTAGCTTGGGAGAAATTCTGCCCTCCAGGGGACATTTGACAATGTCTGGAGACATTGTTGATTGTCCCATATAGAGGATAAGGGTGGTAGTGGCATCTGGAAGGGACAGGTCAGGGATGCTGGCTAAACATCTTACAATGCACAGCACAACCCAGGAACAAAGAATTATCCAGCCCCAAAAGTGCTGCTGTTGAGACACATTGATCCAAAGTAACTTAATTCTTTTAGGAAACATAAATGCCCCTGACTTACCAGCACTGGAACTATATAGTAGCTTTTTCTGTATCCAGGATTGCTGTCACTGCTCTCTTCGGACAAACCAAGCACCCCTTTCTATAAACAGAAAAATGCAGTTGTCTTAAAACCCCTTTTGTTCTTTTGGTCTGTGGCTTTCTTTCCAAATATTTTACAGATACATATATTTTAAAACTTTGAAAATGATCCACAAGATGCTAGAAAAGGAAAAAGCATTTTATACATGGCTGATGAAAGAGAACTGATTAGAAAACAAAATCAGAATAAGCAGTGTTTAAGATGCTGAGATGATCTTTAATGTTCTGACTTTGTAAACATTAAAAACATCATTATAGTGGATTCACATGGTGGTTTTCTTTCTTTTTAAATAATTTTTACTTTTTGGCAGCAACACGCAGCACGTGGGGTTTTAATTCCCCAACCAGGGATCAAACCCGTACCCCCTGCATTGGATGCATGGAGTTTTAACCACTGGACTGCCAGGGAAGTCCAGAGTGTTGTGTGAGAGAGTTTGTGTGTGTGTGTGCTAAGTCGCTTCAGTCATGTCCAACTCTTTGTAACCCCGTGGACTATAGCCTACCAGGCTCCTCTGTCCGTGGAATTCTCCACGCGAAAATACTGGAGTGGGTCTCTCCTTCCCACTGAAGTGGGAGAAGCCATTTCCTTCCCCAGGGGATCTTCTGGACCCAGGGATCAAACTGTATAGTCCATGGGTCACAAAGAGTCAGACACAACCAAGTGACTTTCACTTTCACTAAAAAAAGAGAATGTAGCCATGATTCTTACACAAACATAAAAGGAACAAGTGTCAAGGATTATATTTAATTCATTAATTAATGGGGGTACTGGCAAGCTGTTACAACAGTTTAAAAGAGAGCTCAATACCACACATTTCTGTTCAGATAAGGGAAACTGAAATGAATTTACAGATAGTGCAAAATGGGCCCAATTGGTCAATATCCACAGGCAATAATCAATTGTGTCCTACCAGACAGTTCTCATTTCTATGCACAGGATTTAATTACATTACTATCAGGTTTGTGCAAGTTAACTTCTCTTTCTCCAGTGGTCTAAAACAGTCAAAGGCAGGGCTCCCCTGGTGGCTCAGTGGTAAAGAATCCACCTGCTGTTGCAGGAGACAAGGGTTCTATCCCCAGTCCTTGAAGATCCCACATGCCTCAGAGCAAGTAAGCCCCTGCGCCAGAACTGGTGACCTGTGCTCTAGAGCCCAGGCGTCGTAACTTCTGAGCCCACATGCTGCAACTGCTGAAATTCCTGCACCCTAGAGCCTGTGCTCCGCAACAAAGAGTTAAGCCCCACTCATTGCAACTAGAGAAAAGCCCATGCAGCAACGAAGACCCTGCACAGCCAAAAATTAATAAATAAAATTAAAAAAATAAAAGTCAAAGGCAACGTGACAGTAACTGGAATAAATGCACTAGCCAGATTGTTCCTTACTCTGCCTTTATTCTTAGGATGTTTTCTTCTCGACAAGCCTTATGTTAGTGGCCACCAATTCAGTATGATTTGGGGCACTGAGAAGACACTTTCTTATCACCTGACTCTACCTACCTGCCTGTAGGGTACCTGGAATTCCACACGAAGACCTTTAGTCTTTGAGCAGACCTGGCTTCATGCCATACAACACAAACGAATCCCCACAGAGGGCAATGTTTACAAGGTGCCTTATGGCACACACGTGTGTGATTGTGTTTGATTTTCAAGGCAGTTCATTTCAAAAATGATGAAACTGGGAGGTTTGCCCAGTTTCCTGGGGAGTGATGCAGTGGGTACTTGAACCCCATCCTGGCTTCAAATGGTGTCTACTTCCTGCCATGCTCACATGCCTTATAAGACTGGTGCTTCCGGGACAGGTCCTACCGAAGGCAGACAGAGGCACAGGAAGAAGATTCACACTTGCTCACCAAGTTCCTGGACACCACCATCAATACTGGCAGGCTCATTCAACACTCATGACTCACACCTTTATTGAGCACCCACTATGTTGCCAGGCACGGGGGTCACAGTATTGAGCAAGACAGAGTCCCCATCCTTGGAAACATAAATTATAGTAGGGAAGACACACATCAAACAACTAAGTACAAAATGGATTATTCAGTCAGGACTGTTAGAAGTGCTACAAAAACTGCAGGGAGTGCAAGTGAGCCTGGGGTGATTTGACTAGACTGGGGATGGGGAGGGAGGATCAGGGAAGTGCTGTTTAAACCACACTCCCAGGGATGACTAGCAGTTAAGGGTTTGGGGATGGGGAGGAGGGCGACTCTGGGGCAGGTTGAAGGGAAAGAATATTTCAGAGGAAGTAAGCAGCAACAGTGGAGACGGAGTCAGCTCTCTGTTGCGCTCCTTTTTCTTCTTCCTCTGTGCCATGGGCTCTTCTCTGAGTCTTCAACAAAAACCTAAACTTCAATATTTTTTAGGTAGAATGTGTTGTGGAGCTATTCTTGAGCAGAAAGACCTTCCCTTTATCCAAGTTAGTCTCGCTTCATGCCTTGGAGTCAGTAACTTAAACATCACTTCTGAACATTTCAGTTCAGCTCAGTTCATTTGCTCAATCATGTCCGACTCTGCAACCCCATGAACTGCAGCACACCAGGCCTCCCTGTCCATCACCAACTCCCGGTGTTCACCCAAACTCATACCCATTGAATCAGTGATGCCATCCAACCATCTCATCCTCTGTCATCCCCTTCTCCTCCTGCCCCCAATCCCTCCCAGCATCAAGGTCTTTTCAAATGAGTCAGCTCTTCGCATCAGGTAGCCAAAGTTTTGGAGTTTCAATTTCAACATCAGTCCTTCCAATGAACACCCAGGACTGATCTCCTTTAGGATGGACTGGTTGCACCTCCTTACAGTCCAAGGGACTCTCAAGAGTCTTCTCCAACACCACAGTTGAAAAGCATCAATTCTTCGGCGCTCAGCTTTCTTTATAGTCCAACTCTCACATCCATACATGACTACTGGAAAAACCATAGCCTTGACTAGATGGACCTTTGTTGGCAAAGTAATGTCTCTTGCTTTTTAATATGCTGTCTAGGTTGGTCATAACTTTCCTTCAAGGAGTAAGTATCTTTTAATTTCATGGCTGTCATCACCATCTGCAGTGATTTTGGAGCCCAAAAAAATAAAGCCAGCCACTGTTCCCACTGTTTCCCCATCTATTTGCCATGAAGCGATGGGACCAGATGCCATGATCTTAATTTTCTGAATCTTGACCTTTAAGCCAACTTTTCACTCTCCTCTTTCACTTTCATCATGCTACTACTGCTAAGTCATGTCAGTTGTGTCTGACCCTGTGCGACCCCAGAGACGGAAGCCCACCAGTCTCCCGTCCCTGGGATTCTCCAGGCAAGAACACTGGAGTGGGTTGCCATTTCCTTCTCCAACTTTCATCATATGGATACCTAAATGACTCGGGGCTTCCCTGGTGACTCAGCAGTAAAGAATCCGCCTGCATTGCGGGAGATGCAGGAGACACAGATTCAATCCCTGGGTCGGAAAGATTTCCTGGTAGAAGGCATGGCAACCCACTCCAGTTTTCTTGCCTGGAGAATCCCATGGACAGAGGGGTCTGGCAGGCTACATACAGTCCATGGGGTCACACAGAGTTGGACATGACTGAAGCAGCTGAGCATACATGCAAGTTACCCTTAGTTGCTTTTAATTTAGCATAAATGAATTTAGATCCTTTCTTGAAAGAGAGAATGGATATAAAAGGGTGGAGAATGGCGGGGGGGCGGGGGGCAGAATTGATATAGTCACTCTTATGTCCAGAGCATGAGAAATCTAGGTCTCACGTGCCTTTGTGTTCCTATAGGTAAATCTAGATGACCTGGGAGGGAAAGAAATGTGAAGACATCAGTGGCTACTCACCATCTGAAATGTGAGAACTCCATGGAGAAAGACCAGAAGACTCATGTGCTGCGCCATGCTGAGTGGCTGAAAGCACAAGGGAAACTTTTTTATTCATGTAAATGAACACAACTGTGTATATACACAGATGATGTCTTGATCAGTCTTTATTTAACAGTGACCATGTACCGTGAGCACAAGGTACTAGAGCAGGTGGGGTGTGAAATCCTCACTTTGAAACACTTGCTAGCTGTGAGACCTGGGACAAATTATTTAACCTCTTTGTGCCTTATTATTCTCATCTATAAAACAGAGATAATATTAAAAGCAATTTCAAGGGTGATTATGAAATTCAAATGAGGAAGTTCGTATGATGCATTTAAAATAGTACAGGAACAGGGCAGCCCTCTATACGTTTTTAGCTTTTATTATCATTACCATGCTCTGAGCTGGGCAGCAAACAGAGAGATAGATAAATAAAATAGAGGCCTGGCTGTGTAGAATTTTTAGTTTGTTAAAGAGAGGAAATAAAAGGAGTGGATTTCTGCCTCCATTGCTTACTGCTTTATCCCTTGGGTTAGTTGCTCAGCCACGTCTGACTCTTTGTGACCCTGTTAGGGGAAGCTCCCGGACTGAAACTGCCCACCCTGGCCAGGCTCCCTCGTAACCATTCACATGAGTATCATTTTATAACAGGAGGTCCTGGTAAGGAATACAGAACTAATAAACGATGCGTGCGCCACCAGGAAGGATGCTGAGTCAGAGTGATTGGCCAAAGACAACCCGGAAACTAATCCCATCCCCATAAAACCCGAGACTTCGAGCCACGTGGCCGAGCAGCTCTCCTGGGTCCCCTTACCCTCTTGCTCTCTGCCCCTGTGCCTTCTTCCAATAAAGTCTCTTGCTTTGTCAGCACGTGTCTCCTTGGACAATTCTTTTCCGAGTGTTAGACAAGAGGCCGCTCTTGGGGCCCTGGAGAGGGGCGCCCCCTTCCTACAACAACCCCACGGCCTGGAGCCTGCCAGGCTCCTCTGTCCATGGAATTTTCCAGGCAAGAATACTGGAGTGGGTTGCCATTCCCTTCTCCAGGGGATCTTCCTGACCCAGGGACGGAACCAGGGTCTTCCTTCATGCAGGCAGGTTCTTAACTGTCTGAGCCACTAGGGAAATGGGATAAAGAGGATCCATAAACTGGATGCAGCTCAGAGTGAGTTTGACCTGAACAGCGCCTTGCACAGCTGTCTAGATCAGAAGATGAATCTTTCAAAACTGAAAAATAATTAAAGCAACCTAATGGCCGCATGGGTCCTAGAAAATCAGGTTCTGGTTAAGCATTGGACACTGCCGAGATCCTGGCTTCTTCTTGACACACAGAACTTGTCCCCTCCCACTCAGAAGCCCCAAATCACTTTCCTTTGTTTTAGCACAAGATAGGCTATGAGCTCAAGTTCTAACAACACGTTTTAGGTTTCTCATCTCTGGGTGCTCCCTTGTGCACATGTGCAATGCACATGTTAACAAACTTCTGCATGTTTTTCTCTTGTTTATCTGTCTTTGTCAGTCTGCCAGGGTTGCAACTGGAGATCCTAAAATGAGTAAAGGAAAATGGATTTTTTTCCCTTCCCTATTTCTTGACTACCTGTCACCCCCAAATCCTTTTTATTTATTTATTTTTGGTTGCACTGGGTCTTTTTGCTACGTGTGGCTTTCTCTAGTTTCTGCAAGGGGGCTACTCTCTAGTTGTGGTGGGAGGGCTTCTTCTTGCAGTGGCTTCTCTTGTTCCTGGAGCACAGGCCCTGGGCACACGGGCTTCAGTAGTTGTGGTGTGCATGTTTAGTTGCTCTGCAACATGTGGAATCTTCCCTGATCAGGGATCGAACTCGTGTCCCCTGCATTGGCAGGCAGATTCTTATCCACTGAGCCACCAGGGCAGTCCCACCCCAAAAATCCTTTCTTGAGAACTTTCTATACTCCAGGTCCCATGTAGTGTGCTTTTCACATATTATTTCATTTGATCCTTTCAGTGACTTCATCAGCAGGGTATTTTATATGCACATTTTGTACAAGAGGAAGTCAAGGTTAGAAAGGTGAATAAGTTCTCCAAGGTCACACCAAAGGAGGTGGTACAGCAGGGTTTGAATGTCTGTCTGATTCCAGCTGATTTTTTCTGATCTCCATGCCTCTGTTTCTTACTTGGTTCTTGGGAGCTGGACAGGGTAATGGGCATGCCTGAATATCTTACCATTTACACAACTGTTTTCTCAAGACAGCCTAAAGCTGTGGTTCTCAGGTAGATCCAGGCAAAATTGAACTTTATTTGGAATTTTCCCAGGGGGTCATCCATCATTTTGGAAAACTGCAGTACCAGTGGCCAAACTGCCTGCCACTTGCATTTACAAGAGCCTATTGTAATCATGGTAGTCTGCCTGGAAGCCATGGAGCTGACAAACGTTGTGTTCTGTGATAATAGCTACAGGTTAGCCTTGGGAGATAAGTAAGTTTAGATGAAGTCACAGAGCTGGGATCCTCAAGATAAGATGAGTGTTATTCCTTCAGTCCTGTCCAACTCTTTGCGACCCCATGGACTGTACCCTGCCAGGCTCCTCTGTCCAAGGGGTTTCCCAGGCAAGAATACTGGAGTGGGTAGCAATTTCCTTCTCCTTCTCAGGGGATCTTCCCGATCCAGGGATCAAACCCAGGTCTCTGTAGGCAGGTTCTTTACAGCCTCAGCCACCAGGGGAAGCCCTGGGTATGATTCGGGTCCTTAAGAAGAGCTCAGAGAGATTGCATGCTTCTCTTTCCTTGTGTCTCTGTCATGTGAAGACACAGTAAGAAGGGGGCTGCCTGCCAGCTAAGAGGCAAGGGCTCCCCAGAACCTGACCTGCTGGCACCTGACCATCCTTAGCCTCCAGAACGGTGAGAAACAAATGCCTGATTCTCAGTCCGCCCAGTCTATGGTGTTTTGTAACAGGAGCCCAAGCTAAGACACAAGCCCATTCTACTGCTCCCAAGACTTGCTCTTCAAGCCCCTTGGTTCCAGTGCGGTACAGTTCCAGGTGCGGGGATACCTCTGCACCTGGGAGCCACCTGCCTGTCATGCACAGTGATACTATCTGCTTTTCTCTTCCCATGCATCTAGGGTCTTCCCCTAACACACCCAGGACCAGCACTCCCCAGAGTGGGCCATTCCCCACCCACCACTCAGCCTTCTGTATTAACGAAGGCCAGCTGGACTGACTTTATGGAGGCTGATTAAGCTGATTCTCTGTCTGAGGAATATTAACCCACAGAGATGAGCTCTCTGTCCCTCCCTATGATATCATCTGATATTCCACCTTTAAATAATCATTCCTTTGACTTAAGTTACTGCCTCTCCTAATATTCGGTTCAATGCAACAAACATTTACTGTGCAAGGTGACAGGGATAAAGAGATGAAAGTTAGTATCTTTTTACTGAAGGCTTGTCAGGTCTGTCAGTTATACTGGGCCCTTATGAAGGAAAAGCAACCTGGCCCAATCTGCTTATTAAGAATGCTCCATGTCAGAGGAGAATTAAGCACTCATGTTTGGTCAGGGACAATGAGAAGTGAAGCCAGAACTGACTGGAGAAAGGGAATACATTTCTCAGAGAATATATTCAGAGAATACATTTCTCAGGGTCCCAAATAGCTTCCAGAAATCTAGAGAACCACCTCAAGAAAGTTAGGCCAAGTGGGAGTTCTGTCATAACGATAAAAGTATTTAAATAATAATTAAAAACCCAGTCATGATAAAACTAACCCTCACTAAGCTCTCATTACAGCCAAGGCACTGTGCTGTTTGACCTTCCCAACAAGCTACAAGGGGCTTCCTTCACAGTTTGGTTGGTAAAGAGACTGCCTGCAATACAGGAGACCTGGGTTTCATTCCTGGGTCGGGAAGATCCCCTGGAGCAGGAAATGGCAACCCATTCCATTATCCTTGCCTGGAGAATCCCATGGACAGAGGAGCCTGGCAGGCTATAGTCTGTGGGGTCCCAAGAGTTGGGCAGGACTGAGTGACTAGGTACTCACACACAGGCTACAAAATAACCAATACATGTTTAAATTACCTGCTCTGCTAAATTTTGTTTTTAAAGCATGGCTGGAATGACATTAGGAAAGTAAACAGTTGAAGTAAAATGTCCCTTTTATCCAGTAGATCCTAATTTTTAAAACGTCTTGTAGGTATGGGGTTGCTTTGTTTCCTTCAGCACTTCTACTAAACTATACCCTCCTCTACAGGTTTGGGAAAGGGGAAAACATACAATGACCTAGTCTTACTGTTTCAAGTTTGAATAACAAAGAAATGTACGGAGAGAAATCTTTCGCAGCCACAAACTTGGCTGATTCCATTTCTGCCTTTTCCCTTCAGCAAAACTGCTGGGGGAGAACTTTAGGGAGAAGGAACTGGAAACCTTGCGGGCAAATCAACAGGCTTGCTTGCCTCACAGACTTCTACCACCACAGTCTTGTTTCTTGTTGTTTTTTATCATACATTTCATCAGTAAAAAATTTGGAGCATGCACTATATATATATAAATGTATAGATATAGATATCATTTAATTACGTATCCATCTTTAAGCATGTTCTACTGCATATTTACTATGTACATTATAGAAATCACTGAAAGACAAGTTTAAAGGTATGGAATTTATAAAAATCTTAAAATGTTTTCCTTCCCCAGTGGGTCTGTTGCCCACCCCCAGGATACAAACACTCCACTCTATTCCAGTGACCATCTCCTGTTGCCACATCCACTAGAAAGAGTTCCCCTCTAGCTGACACCATAAGGTTCACTAAGCCTCAGGTCCATAAATCAATAAATCTGAGGGTAGGTGTTTCCCTCCCGACTCCTCAAGACTCACCTGCTGCCGTTGGAGCTTTGTGAGATAGACAGGAAGCTCCACCAGGAGTAAGACGGATCAGGCCTTCTCTTAACCCTACAAAATGCCCGTGGCGTTGTGTGCTCTCTAGACAGGAAGCCTTACAAAACATGATGTCAGATGGGCAGTGACAGTCTGTTTTCAGGATTTGCTTTTAAGAGAACTGCTTACCCC